GAAATCTCCTCTAACGGTTTATCTGATAATAGAGGGTGATTTAACCGTCAAGGGAACCCTTCTTGAAATAGATTTGTGTGAAGTAAGTATATTTATACTTGTTTCTTCTTATAGTTTTTCGATGTGGGACAACCTCGTGGCTCATATTACCGAACTTAGAGTCAATGAATATGAGCGTAAGAGTAAGGTTTGTTGAGCCGGACACTTAGGGTCCGAAGCGAATAAATTATTCCCCGGTGCTGAGCCTGAGGGGAGGTTTGCCGAGCCGGACACTTAGGGTCCGAGGCGAATAAATTACCCCCCGGCGCTGAGCCTGAGGGGAGGTTTGCTGAGCTGGACATTTAGGGTTCAAGGCGAATAAATTATCCCTCAGCGCTGAGCCTTGGGGGAGGTTTTCCGAACCGGATACATAGGGTCCGAGGTGAATAAATTACTCCCCGGCGCTGAGCCTGAAGGGAGGTTTGCCGAGCTGGACACTTAGGGTCCGAGGCGAATAAATTACTCCCCGGCGCTGAGCCTAAGGGGAGGTTTGCAGAACCGGACACTTAGGGTCTGAGGTGAATAAATTACTCCCCGGCGCTGAGCCTGAGGGGAGGTTTGCCGAACCGGACACTTAGGGTCCGAGGAGAATAAATTACTCCTCGGTGCTGAGCCTGAGGGGAGGTTTATATATATTTTTTTAAACAACTTATCATGAGGCCGAAGACTCAAAAATGATAGGAGGCCAAGAAAGCGAGTAACAGTGGCTGAGAAGTTTCCTATTTGTTAACTTTGGAGACTTTCCTCCATTGATACTCCCTTCTTGGCAACCAAATGTAGTGAACTAAGTATATATTAACCACATTTCTTTTCTATTTCTATCCGATGTGGGACATAGACTAAACTTTGTCAAAAAGGTCAATGTAAGGAATGCCTCTGGTATTGGGCTTGGCAGCCTTTAATACCAGTGAGCCCTCCTTACACCGCAATCAACTATTTGAATATTCCCATATATAACAGAATGTAACACATACTTTTTTGTCGATGTGGGACAGAGAGGTTTAACCATAGGCCATAACTCATGCTTTTAAAAATCATTGTGACGAATGCTTTTTAATAACTTCTTCTAACATTGCTTTGCATAAAAATTGCATAGTGCAACTTGGCATGCATAAAAATCACATAATCATAGAGTAGTATGAAAATTTCTTTGCATAAAAATTGCATAATGTGACACAAAGTTGCATAATCATAGAGTAGTGTGGCCCCCATTTTTATGGAAAGAAATAAATGGAGTTGAATTGTACTAAATATAATAGAAGCAAAACAAAGAAAAATTTGACTGACTGTGGGCATACGCAACCTTATTTGTGAAGAATTCGTAGCAAAATTGACAAACTTATCTAATGAAAATACCTTTTAAGGTGTATTGCATTCCAAGGACGCGCAATGGGACGTCCGTCAGCTTCGGCCAAATGATATGCTCTCTTCCCCACTACTTCGATAACCCTGTAGGGTCCAGTCCAATTAGGTTCCAGTTTCTTTACATGAGCTGTCTCTTGTTTCAAAACCCAATCGCCTACCACAAAACTCCTGAACCTGACACGTTTGTTATAACTGTTGCGCAGCTGTTGCTAATATGAAGCAAGCCTAATTGCTGCAGCATCCCTTTTTTCGTCTAGGAGATCGAGACTATGTTCAAGCTACTGATTATTGTTTCCTTCAAGCAACAAGAATGTCCGAAGGGTTGGAACTGCCGCTTCGGTTGGGATCACAGCTTCGGATCCATAAGCCAAGGTAAAGGGACTTTCCCCCGTGGGCTGCCGTGGAATGGTTCAGTACGCCCAAAGCACCTGAGGGAGATTCTCGTACCATTTTGTTTTAAATTTCTCCAGCTTCTTCTTTAAACAACTGAAAATGGTTCGGTTAGTTATTTCAGCCTGTCCATTCCGTTGTGGTTGACTGACTACAGTTAGCTTTTGTACAATTCTATGCTTAGTGAAGAATTTTCTTGTACTTTTATTGTCGAGGTTCTTACCATTGTCCATCATAATGTCTTTTGGGACCCCAAACCGGCAAATGATGTTGTTCCAAAGGAAACTTTTTACCTGCTTATGGGTCACACTTGAGTAAGCCTCGGCTTCTACCCATTTAGTAAAATAATCTGTAGCCAGTAGCACGTACTATTTCTGTTCCACAGTCTTGGGTAAAGGGCCCACCATATCAATCCCCCATTGTGCGAATGGCCATGGATTTACCATTGCATGCAAATCTTCGGCAGGTTGATGTTTCATTGGACAGTGGCGTTGACACTCACATCTCCGAGTATACTCTTCAGCATTCCGGGCCAAATACGGCCAGAAGTAGCCTTGAGTTAGAACTTTATGTGCCAGGGATCTACCCCCAGAATGGTTGCTGCAATCTCGATCATGGATTTGTTTTAACACCACAAGAGCCTCAGCAGGGCTTAAACATTTCAGGTAAGGACCTGAAAATGACTTCCGGTATAACTGGTTGCTAATAATGGCATATTTAGCTGTGGTGAGTCGGAGCTTCCGTGCTTCAGGTTTCTGGTTTGGAAGAATTCCATGCTTGAGGTAGGCTTCTAATGGATCAATCCAGCATGGTTCTTGAGGAATAACTGGAATCACCATTACTTCTTGCTGAGGGTTAATGCTGGGTTCGTCCAAGACGTCAATCGGCACAATCCGAGTCAGATCTTCATTTGAAGATGACGCTGCTGTGGCCAATTGATCTACTTTGGCATTCTCAACACGAGGTACCTAACATAATTTGACTTGATCGAATCCTCGTGTAACATTCTCCACAGCTTCTTTATATGTCTCCATTCTTACCTCTTTGGGATGATACTGACCTGTCACTTGATTTATAACAAGCTGTGAGTCACTAAAAACCTTTAAACAATGTACCTGGAGGCTGCTAGCCAATCGAATACCAGCAAGTAACGCCTCATATTCGACCTCATTGTTCGTAGCAGGGAAACTTAAGCAAATGGACTGCTGCAACTTGGTGCCTTCAGGTGTTGACATAACAATCCCTACCCCTGCACTTGTTTGATTTGAGGAGCCATCAACCTGAAGCTCCTACTGTAGTTCAGGGGGTTCCAGCTCTTCGGGTGTGTCTTCATATTCTAAAAGAAAGTCTGCTACGGCTTGTCCCTTGTGCGACACCTTCAGCTCATAAGTTATGTCGAAGGAACTGAGCTCGATAGCCCATTTGGTAATTCTTCCAGATAGATCGGGTTTGGAGAGTATACCCCATATAGGATTGTTGGTGAGTACCACAATGCTGTGAGATTCAAAATAATGCCAAAGCTTTCTCTTGGCATAAACCAAGGCTAAGATGATTTTCTCTGCCTTACTATACCGTGTCTCCGCATCCGTTATTGTCTTACTTGTGTAGAAGACTGGATATTACCTCTTTCCTTCCTCTTTAATCAATACTGCACTTGTCGCTATGTTAGAAATTGCGAAATACATAATAAGAACCTCCCCGAGTTTTGGAGCGGATATAATTGGTGGTTCGGCCATATAACCTTTCAACTGATGGAGGGCCCCTGCTGTTGAGGTCCCCAAATATCTTTATTCTTAGATCTTATAGCATTGAAGAATGGTTTTCACTTATCTGATAATCTGGATATAAACCGGCTGAGGGCTGCGATCCGACCGGTAAGAACTTGTACCTCCCTACAATTTTTTGGTTCTTGATTCTGTATGAGGGCCTTAGCCTGAGCCGGACTTACCTCTATCCCTCTTTTATTCACTATGTGGCCGAGAAATTGACCTGACGATACCGCAAAAGAGCACTTGGATGGATTCGGCTTCATGTTGTACTTCTTCAAGGTATTGAAAACCTTTTAGAGGTGCTTCGGATGGTCTTCCTTCTTCACACTTTTGACCACCATGTCATCTATATATGCTTCAACTGTTTTTCCCAAAAAATTGTCAAAGATCTTATTGACAAGGCATTGATAAGTAGCCACAGTGTTCTTTAGCCCGAAGGGCATGACCCTGTAACAATAAGTCCCCTTTTCTGTAATAAAAGCCGTTTTTTTCTTCATCTTCAGGGTTCATAGGAATTTGATTGTATCCCGAGTATGCATCAAGGAATGTTAGCCTCTCGTAGCCGGTAGTAACATCAACCATCTGATCTATCTTGGGCAGAGGGAAGCTATCTTTAGGGCAGGCTTTGTTAAGGTTAGTATAGTCTACACAAACCCTCCACTTTCCATTCTTCTTTTGTACGACCACTACATTTGACAGCCATTGTGGATATTGCACTTTTCGAATGAAACCTGCTTGCAACAACTTGTTCACTTCTTCAACTATAATGCGATTGCGCTCGGGGGCAAACCTTCAGTGCTTCTGCTTAACCGGTTTGAACTCCGGATCCACCTTCAGGCTATGGCAGGAGACTGAAGGATCGATTCCTACCATATCCGAGTGATCCCATGCAAAAGCTTCTGCATTGCTCCGAATGACATCAATTAATGCTTCCTTTTCTTCGGACATGGAGGAAGAGCCTAAATAAGTGACCTTCTGAGTGTCGCCGAGGATAACTTCCACGGCTTCAAGGGTCTCCTTGGTAGGCTTCGCAATTTCCTCTTCCTCCTCTACCTTAAGATATTTGGGCAGAAGGCTCTGTAATTGCTATTTGGGTATATTTTTGGAAGTCACACCTGGTTGCTACTGAGTAGACTCCTTTTTTGCTTCAGCCTGTGTCAACATATAGCATTCCTTCACAGCGACTTAATCGCCCCATAGATTGATCACCTCTTTTCCGTCCGGAGACAAACATCGCATCACCTGGTGAAGGGTGGACGGAACTCCTCTCATCCGGTGTATTCAGCCTCTTCTCATAATGAGATTATAAGAATGATAGATCTCTGTTAAAATAAAGTTATCCTTCAGAGTCCTCTTCGCCGCAATTATGGATTAGTCTATTACTCCAAGGGGATCTACTCTTGTGCCATCGAATCCCATCAATGGGCTAGAGGTAGGTCAGATATATGATGACGGGATCTCTAGCTGCTCAAAGATCATCTTTGTGATGATGTTGGCACTACTTCCTGGGTCTATCAAAACCCTCTTGATCATACAATTGGCCACTAAAAGACTGATGACCAATGGATCCTCGTAGGGGAGTTGAACCCTGGATAGGTCGCCATCTCCAAATCCAATACTGATGTTACCCAAAGCGATAGCATTAACTAAGGATATCTTCCTGAGTTTATGGGCTGCCCTTAATCTGGATCTGTATACCCCCTTGGACTCTTGATCATCTTCAGACCTGCCATGTATTGCATGAATGACCTTTACTTGCGTACCTTCTACCTTGTGAGGATAGACCTCGCGGGGCTTTGCATACTCCTTTGTTATGAGGTAGTCCGCCAACTCTCCTCTGGCTATCATATTTTCCACTTGTCGCCTAAGGAATCTGCAATCACTGGTTGAATGCCCATAATCTCGATGATAAGTGCAATGTTTACTTTTATCCCTTTGCTCCAGCGGTTGCTTTATTGGCTGCGGGGTTGTGAACTTCATCTTATTCTCTTGGAAGAGCCGAGCCAAGGTAGTTCGGAGAGGTGTAAACCCTTCCTTTATCCTTTGCCTCTTCTCAGGTGCCTGGGCGATCGGCGTTGAGGCACGTTGGCTTTTCTGAATCTTTGAATTTGGAATTCTTTCTCGAGGCTTATTCTCCACTGTCACGAGGGTGGCATGCTGTGCTCGGTGGGCTATATTTTCCTCAAGCCGAATGTAGATTTGGGCCTTGGCATTGAGAGTCTGTATGTCGAGAGGAGAATATTTGACCAAGGAAGTGTGGAACTTCGTCCCCTTAATCATCACAAGTTTAAATGTTTCTATAGCAGTCGCGGGATGATAATCTGCTATTTCCGAAGCTTCCATGTTGAATCTAGATAAGAAATCCTGCAATGTTTCCCCCTTCTTTTGCCTTACGGTGAAGAGGCTGGTAATACTTTTCTTTTGCTTCTTATTTCTGCAATATTGTGCCCGGAACATGGTGTACAGAGTTACGTAATCCGGGATGGACTTATGCGGCCTATTCCTGAACCATTCTAGTGCTGCTCTTGTCAAGCTGGTAGGAAAAACTCTGCATATCCAAGGGTCATTACGATAATCCAAAGCCATCTTTTGGGCGTAATGATCTAGGTGTCGAGAAGGATCCCTCGTTCCATCAAACAGGGTAAAAGAAGGCATGGTAAATTTCTTGGACCTCTCAACCAGATACACATCATTAGTGAAAGGAGTTTTGACCAAGGAATTTTTGTGCTCTCTAGCCATCTCAGCAGGTGTCTGAATCTTCAAAAGTCTTTTCTCATTAAAGGCATCCTGAACACCTGCACCATCTGGAATTCCATTGGACCACACCATAAGCTTATGGCTAAACTCGACTTGCTCATCCTGCGTGCGACGAGGGCTGTTGTCTGAAGCCATAGCCTGGATCTTGCCCTCTGTTGTTGCCGAACCTCATTTGGCTGAGCCTCGTTGGGTTGTGCCCCATTAGGTGGAAGCCCGATAACCGGAGGAATATTCTGATTAAGGGGTGCTGTTGTGTCACCCATTGGTGGCGGTGGTGCCAACTGAGCCATCGCCATTTGCGGAGTGTTATTCTGTTGTTGAAGCAAGGAGATCTGAGCCACGCTTGATTCGTTTGCCTGACGAAGTATGTCAAACTGGTGTAGAAACTCTTCACGCATCTTCCGCATCAACTCCGTCTGTTGATCCGTTGAAGATCCTCCGTTTGACATTCCAGATGGTCATTGTAGGATTCACCTATGAAACAAGAGTGGGAATATATTTGCACACGTTCCCACAGACGGCGCCAAAATGTAGGTGCAAAATTTCGCTCAACCAATTACGATTGAGAGAAAATAATACAACACACTCAATAAACAATAAAAATAAACAAGAACAGTGTCTATAGAAGAATTGAGTTGCTCGCCCCTTTATTAGAGGTCTAGGCCTTTATTTATACACAAAAGTTGGTAGAATTATGGTAGGACTCGCGTTGCTTGTCCTCCAATTCTTCCCATACATGACTTTCTTTACAAATAGAGTTCTTTCCATTGTATGATAGTTCCTACATAGAACTTGCTTTGTATAAAAACTTTCCTTCCGGGTTGACTCATTTGCTTAATAGGACTGAGCCATATTTAATTATACTTGGGCCGGATATGGTTTGGTGTAAGTGGTTTGACCAATGGACCAAAACTTCAACAGCGGTGACGTTAGGCTAATCGATACTCTTTCCTGGCTTTGGAGGCCCAACATAAATGATAATGGGTTAAAGCACAACGTAACTTAGGCTTGATCCGGATGGGCTTCTGAGATCTGCCAAATGCAGATTTGTATACTGGTGACATGTTTCATTCTTATTGGAGGGAGATTTTTCCCTCCACAATATGCTTCAAATGATATTTAAGATATAACTAACCTTATACTAATATGCCATAAGATATTTATAATATGCTAAAATAATTAATTAAATATTCAATTAGATATTTAATTAAACATGCAAATTAAAGCAATAAAATAATAATAATAAATAAAGAACCTGAACCGAGGCTAGTATTGGATACCATGTCCTTAAGACAGATTCGCCCCGCTATGGTGCTAACGGACTCAGTGGCGTCTATCTCTCAAGATACAACGGTCTACATCTACCAGTAGCAGCACTACAAACTTGTGGATACAATGAATCTCCTCCGTGTAATACTCTTTCTGACTAAAAAATGCCTCTACACTATATAAATAATGAATTTGGTGCAATCCAAACCAAATGGCTCGGACTAAATTTAATATAGCTCAATGAAATTGGTTTTGGGCCTAAGTAGCTTAGACCACTTGACCATGGCTTAAACCCACACCCACTTGGGTTGGGTTAATCTTGAGAGAAGGAGAGAAAAGAAAATAAATTTAACAATTTGCAAATGGCAGCCCAATGGGGTATTTATAGAAATAGAAGTGTCTTTTCGGATTGGGTGTGTCTCTTCATCATTGGACACAACCATTTATATGTGTCTCGTCATCACTGGACACAACCATTTAAATGTATCTTTCCATCACTAGACACAACCCTTTAGAAGTGTCTCTTCATCACTAGACACAACCATTTATATGTGTCTATTCACCACTAGACACATCCATTCCAATAGGTTGTAATGGTTCACATGGTATCAGTTCATTTTAAGTTACATTTTTTCACCCCACAACCAACCAGTAATAACATATGTTCAGTAAAAGACATCTATTGATGACTAATCAAACAATTTTCATTCATAATTTCTAACAAAAGATCGATTAGATATCGTAAATATCAAATTTCAATCATCATCCAACCAAGAATTTCATTTCTGAGTTGCTTGGAGGTGTTGTCGGAAACTTCTTCGCATTAAATCACCGTAACAACATCGCACAACAAATCCAACTCAGTTTTGCCTGATCCAAAGCTTTAAATCCCAAGACCACAACGTCGGTCCCAAGTGATCTCCTTTTTTTTTTTATCATCGACTTCAAGGGCCAAGTCGTCGCCAGATCGGAGCTCCATCTAGAAAAAGTCGATGGAGACTGATCTGATGGCTTCTTCGTCTATCTGGTTTGCGGCTGGTGTACTCCGATCTGATGGTTTCTTCGTCTCTCTGGTTTTTTCGACGAAGAGCTCTCACCAATCACACGTACTCTTTGACTTGGTTCTTCCGAGTTCGATACTGTAACGAATTTACGAGAAAGTTAGAGTGCTTGTGGAGAATCAGAGTCCGACTTCTGATAGGAAATTAAAGTTCTAAAATGACTTTGAGCACCGATTCAACATTCCTTACTGATGCTTCGCTGCTCCGATTCCCTCCACTTTTCTAACCACCCTTGCCCAGTTTAGCCTCCACCATGGCTGCAAAAACCTCTCCTTTGAAATTAACACAAACAAACAAATAATGTATCTGATCAAAGAGAGATGAGAGTCTCCACCATCATCCGCTGCCTCCATTAAAGCTTGAGAGAAAAATTTACTGAAATTTTTGTTTGATTGATAGATCTTTATTTAATTGAACCAATCATTGATCTGGGTGTGTACAGAATGTTCGGAGAGAGAGAAAAAAACGTTCGAGTGCAATGACGAATCTGAGAAAATTGTTGTTCATAGAGAGGTGACAATATAACCCTCGCCGTAGACGAATAGGTATCAGATTTTCTAACTTGTGCCATGGTGTGCTAATAACAATTGTCACTTCTTCTCAATCATTGAACCGCCATCCAGCCGAAGCCGCAACCAGCCCGGCCATCGCCGTTACAGCCATCCCATCTCCACCTCAGCGTGCACAAACCACCCTCGCCAAAGCCAGATCCGTCGGATCTGTCTGGCGACTTGGCACTGCCGCAGCCACCGCGATTCAGTTCTATCGCCTTTCCGAGCCACCACTGCATTTCTTTCTCACTGTCGCAGTTCACTTCTAAAAGTCCTTTTGCTCGCCAGCCGCCGAACCAGCCCACTGAGCTTGAGAGGGGAATTGTGTCTGACGTGTCATATCCATGTTGGATTCAAAGGATATATCGGCAAATTAGTTCGGAAGATGTATCATTTGTTAAAAAAGTATTGTTAAAATTTGCTCATTTAAATGTTTTAATTTGTTTAAATAAAATTTGTTTAACACAATGCATATAATTAGCTCACTACTATCAAATAGGTGAAAAAAAAAAAAAAAAAAAAAAAAAAAAAAAACCCTCACTAAAATTAAAACACCCCTGAACTATAAAATGTTATCAAGTTACCCCATATTCGTGATAAATAACAAAATTATCCTTATGATTTAATGATAAATTAAAATTAAAAATTAAAAATTAAAAATTATTATTGTAAAATTATAAAATACCCTCAGGTCTTCTTCCTCAATACCCTCTATGTCTAAAACTCTCACCAGACCTGAGGATACCAAAAATAAGTTGGGCCGGGTGTGACCCATCCCATTGACAACCGGGTCCTAAAGGAGCTTTCAGCCAGGTCGAATGACAACCCAGCAGGCCCAATTCTCATCAAGAATGATCTCCAGGCCCAATCTTAAAGGAAAGGAAATGAATCCGCATCAAAGGAGAAGCCCAAAGGATTAGCCTAGCTGGGAGGTTGAAAGAGGAAAGTTTTAGAATACTTGTAAAACTCTATAAATAGAAGGAAAAGAGAGGGGAAAGGGGTTGATTGTTTTTGAAGTGTAAGAAATTGCCTTTCCATATTGAGAGAATGGTTTCTATTATTTCAATTGGCACCGTCCGTGGGAAACGAAGGAGAGATTTGGTCAATCTTCGCATACGTTAGGTGTGAATTGATCAATTCCAGAAGATTGAGGTATGATTTATGAAGATTGAGGTCTGATCTGTGAAGATTCAAGCCCAATCGAAGGAGATTGAGGTTTGATCTGTGAAAGAGGTTGAGATATGATCTATGCAAATTGTGTAATCAGATGAGACTTGGATCTAATCGACGAAGATCGAAATCTGATCAGACGAAGGCCGGATCTGACAGATTTACAGTGAGAAAGTTTAGATCCAACTGATTTTCAGCAGTTGATGACTCTACTCCGATCAGGAACGATGATCAGAGGTGAAAGTTCTCATCCGTAGGAGAGTGAGCAGCATGTGAAACTTAATGTGTTAATGAGCTTAATTGAGACCTTGAGACGAACAAATGCAGAATTGAGAGACGGACTAGAACGACGAGATGTTCAACCAATTCTACAGCCACCGCCGCTAGCAAGTGAGAAAACGTTGCCGTCAAATGTCATTCGCCAGGTGGAACGAGAAGGATCTGTTCGCTCAGATCCACATCATGAGGAGTTCAGGCCAGAGATTTTGACGCCAAATATCCATCCTCAGGAAGATCGAGAATGATCCGTTCACCTAGATCCACATCGTGAAAGGTTCAGGCGGGAGGATGAGATGGAGTTCGATCACAAGAAGACTATATCGTCGTGGTAGAAGGAATCGACTGTGGACAGATCGTTCGATCCAATGTACCAGTCACTGATGGTCACGCATGACCAAAGAAACTTAGGCAAAAGGTATCTCGAGCAGATGGTACCTCCGAAGGACAATGAAGCCCTCCGCACATCGGCTTGGACTGTTGACTCACCATTCACTGATGAGATCTTGAACGCTCCGAATCTAAGAAAATTTTCTATGCCAGTCTTCACTTTGTTTGATGGAACAAGTGATCTAGTTAAGCATGTTTATCACATCCAGCTAAAGATGACCTTGAGCACAGGAGATGACGCTCTAATGTACAAGGTCTTCCCTAT